GAGTGTGTGTGTGTGTGTGTGTGTGTGTGTGTGTGTGTGTGTGTGTGTGTGTGTGTGTGTGTGTGTGTGTGTGTGTGTGTGTGTGTGTGTGACACGTACGTCACACAGCTCCTTTCGGAGATGGAACGACAAATTGTTTTGGTGAATCTCCTTTTGGAACATTGGTAGTCTGACGCCCTTGCGGCCCAGTTCTTTTCAAGCACCGGTTGTTGTTCTGTAAAAGTTTTACGGCGCTCAAAACTGCTTAAGGTCATATGAGCGCGCGAGCTCACAAGTTGGTAGTGTTCACCACAGATCTTAGCGCAGTTTCATTTTGGACAATGATCAGATTAAAATAATAAAAATCTCAATCTAAAAATGAAAATTTACATAGTACATGTATTATAATAACAATGTATTGCATTTTTTGTAAAGGCCAATGGTCTTTAAGAAGTGGCAAATAAAAATGGTTTCAAGTTCTCCTCATCAAAGACCGATCAGGCACACGTGTGCTGTAGCCGGATTTGACGCTATACGGGGAAAGAATTCTCGTCCAGAATCAGGCATGTTTCCTCGCAATTACATTTGACCAAAAAAACCAAAAAAACTTCCATTCATCATCATCATCCAGTGCCAGATCTGCGACCGACATCGGCGATCATGGTTCTCCGTTCATTCCTTTGATCGGATGCTCTTAAAAAAGCTACGTTTCCCTGAGGTTACCCATTTGTTTAGGTTCCCTACGTAGGTTGCTCTGGGCCTACCCCTACCTTGTTTGCCTTCAGTTTTGCCAGTGAGAACTAGATGTTCAAGACCCTTAATATGTCTATTCAGGTGTCCCAAAAACTGCATTTGTCGTTTCCTGATTGTCTTTAACAGTGAGCGTCCCACGAGAACTTCATCAAAGCACTACCTCATTTGATTTCTGACGCTTGTGTGAGGTGCCAGCTAGAGATCTGTCTCGCCCTTGTGGGGGGGAGGGTGGGAATTTCCGCACTTCTCCAGTGGAGATCCTTCAGGCCGAGGCAAACATACCATTACTCACACTCAGAGGCACACAACTCTCACTACAATACGCAATTAAACAAAGCTCCCAAAACCAGAGAACCCAGCAAACGACTGTATTTTTGGAACACGCCCAGACACAATAAACAAATTCAAAAACAAAGACAAACTCACCAAACCTTTCGGCCCCACAATCCTCGAAGACCTCAAAAACTTAGATGTTTTCCCAAAAGATCTTGAACAATTTCTTTTCCCCGACCGCTCTCCGTGGCACCCCACCAAGCCAAAAGTAGACTTGCAGCTCACCACACACGACAAAGCACGCACAAACACCAAAACATTTAAAGCTGCATACAAGAAACTTATAGGAAAATACCCCGATACTGAGCTAATCTTCACAGATGGCTCTAAATCAAACTCCGCGGTGGGCGCCGCTGCCCTATCCTCAAACATGTACACACCAGAGGAGACTCCATCCCGAGGCCTCCATTTTCTCTGCGGAGGCCTCTCCTCTATCATTGACATGGCATTGGACTCTGTACAAAGTTACCTAAAACATCCTTTCTTACTCTGTCTGACTCTCTATCCTGCGTCACCTCATTAAAAAATTACACACTCACACACGCTCATATATGATCTTTTGCAGTTACAAGTGCCTTAAAACTCTTACTAAAAGACACCCCCCCCCCCACAAAAGATATAGTTATTTCCCTTTAGTCTAGTAACTTTCTTTTAGCCTGGTTACTTCCAGTTGATTTAGTTACTTCCTTTTTAAAAACTTCCTTTTGGACTAGTTATTTCTCTTTAGTCTAGTTTAGTTATTTCCCTTGTCTTTAGTCCTGTTACTTTCCTTTAGTCCTGTTACCTCCCTTTGCTTTAACTATTTCCCTTTATTCATGTAACTTTCCTTTATGCTTATTATTTCCCTTATATTTTGGTTACTTACTTTTAGTCTTGTAACTTCCCTTTGTTAATAATAATAATAAATGACATTTATATAGCGCTCAACCCCGAATAAAGTACACAGGCTCTGAGCGCTTTACAAAACAGTACAACGTACAACTGACAACAGTAACCTAAACCGTTGTGTTCTGACTAAAGAAAATTATTCCAAATATTCATCTAATTAATTTAAAGACAGAAACGACATCAGCTGACATTTGAATGAATCAAAAGATTTGATCTCTCTTAAAGTTAAAGTACTTGGTAAAGTATTCCAGATCTTGGGGCTTTGGTGTTCAAATGCCCTTTCTTTAATTTTTTTTTATACGGACGATGACGGATTTCTCCGTCCCTCGGATGCCTCGGGCAGTATCCGTCTCGCTAAACCAGTGGGCACAAGGCCGTAGGAGAAGCTGAGAACAGATACCACCTTTGATCGTAACCTTTGATTCAAATGCCCTTTCACCCATTGTTTTAAGTTTCATAGATGGTAAAATAAATTACTTTTTGTCAGCTGAGTTGAAATGTACAGTCTTAACAGATTTGATAAATATGATGGTGCATTATCTTTCAAAGATTTGTGACATAGGGTGGCCAACTTGTGCACAATTCTTTTCTAAAAAGGAAGCAAATGCAAAGTTCGTAAAAGAGGTTTAGCAGGGTCTCGCTTAAGTTACTCCCCTCTGTCAAGTCATTTCCCTTTAGCCAAGTAACTTTCTTTTAACCTAGCTACTTCCCTTTGGTCTAATTATTCCCCCTTAGTCTTGTAGCTTCCCTTTATGCTAGCTATTTCCCTTTTGCTGGTCACCTCCCTTAGACTAGTTACTTCTTATAAGTTAAGTTACTTCCCTTTGGTCTAGTTATTTCCCTTTATTTTGGCAACTTCCTTTTGGACCAGTTATTTCTCTTTAATCTAGGTATTTCCCTTGTAACTTCCCTTTAGTCCTGTTACTTCCCTTTGCTTTAATTATTTCCTTTTAGTATGCGACTTTCCATTATACTAATTATTTCCCTTTAGTCTGGTCATTTACTTTTGATCTTGTAACTTCTCTTTTGTTAATGCTACTTCCTTCTGTCTAGTTATTTCCCTTCAGCCAGGTTACTTACCTTTGGGGCTAGTTACTTCCCTTAGGTCTAATTATTTCCCTTTGGTCTGGTTACTTCCCTTTAGTCTAATTATTTCACTTGGTTACTTCCCTTCAGTCTAATTATTTCCCTTTAGCCTAATTATTTCCCTTATTTACTTCCATTTAGTCTAATCTATAATATATATATAGCATTACAGTATCATCAATCGTAATGATTTTTTCGGGATGATGGTGGATGGGAGCAGCCAAAGATTGGCTCGTGTCTAAAATGTTTGATGTAATGTATAGGATATAAATCTATAAGCTTATTAGTGACAAAGGAAACTATAGTCCGCTTGGTGCTGAGCTTGCTAAATGCACATCATATGTGCTCGGCACATTTTCTATTGCACGATTATTTTTAGCGCATAATGTGTCTTATAGACACAAATAGTCTTTTTTTTATATAAAGAGCCATCAGTAAGGTTCTGGGCCATGTGAGAGTTCAAGTTGACTAGCAGCAATATCTTTTTCACAGTGGGAAGGACATTTCTTTATCAAACTGTACTTTTCAATGTTTTGTTTTATTGAATGTTGTCCAAAAGCACCTTAGTAAAGGTTTTGTTTCAGTTATCACTACTCTGTGTAGAAAAACAATTGACCGGGCTACAAAACAACAGTAAGTTCACTTTAATAATCTTTGATTTTCACTTTAACTTTAATCCTCTCCCTCACCCTCTCTCATTCTCACCCCCTCTCCTTTCCTCCTCTCTCTCTCTCTCTCTCTCTCTCTCTCTCTCTCTCTCTCTCTCTCTCTCTCTCTCTCTCCTCATCCTCTGTCCCTTTTTCTCTCTGATTGAACTGACATCCACACATCGTTTGTGTTTTCATTTGTGGTTTTTTTCTCTCTTATTTAACTGACAGCATCTTTGATTATCTTTTGTGTAGTGTCTGTTATTTATTTTTATTTTTTTTCTTCTATTCTTTCTTTTCCCCGTGGGAGGTTGGTAGGTGCTCTAGTGTGGTTTGCTCCTTTTTCCCTGTCAAACATCTATCGTCTTCATCTCCCCTCCTTCTTTTTTGTGTTTGTTACTCCTTTGTGACACCTCTAATCTTCGGCACTTATATGACCTTATTGTGTTGCAAGTGCCGTAAAACTCTTACGAAAACTCTTCATTCCCCAGGAGGAAGACAAGGGGTGGTCGGAGGAGGAGAAGAACTCTCGCAGCTCCAGTGTCCACTCCAGCACCTCGGCCACCGGCCCGGGTGTGAGCAGACTGACCCCTGGCGGAGCGGTCAAGAACTCTCGCAGCTCGTCGGGAGCCAGCAGCATCTTTGCCGATGACAACGACGATGACGACTCACTCTTCACTTCCGGCAAGGCCAGGTCAGTGGGGGGGTTGGCGGGTGCTTCTCCGCTGTGTGGTCTTTTCCTTCTTTCCGTATCTGACATCTCGCGACCTCAGTGCTTTTTTTGTGGTATATCCATTTTTTTAACATTGAAAATGTGACTTCTTCTTAAGCTCACTCTTTGTTATGAACTGTTTTCACTGTTATTAAAAATGGAGATACAACAAGAAAGCACTGAAGTTATGATCTGTCAGTGGGTGGTTGATGGGTGGTCCTCCGCTGTGTGGTTTGTTCCTTCTTTCCTATCAAACAAATATTGTCTTTATATTCACTCCTTTTTTGTGTTTGTTACTCTCTTGTAATTCCTCTAATCTTCGGCACTTATATGACCCTATTGTGTTACAAGTGCCCTTAAAACTGTGACTAAAACTTTTTAAAAATCTTCTTTGCTATCAAACATCTATCGTCCTTGTCTCTCCTCCTTCTTTTTCGTGTGTGGTGTGTGTGTCTCTTGTGACACCTCTAATCTTCGGCACTTTTATATGACCTTATTGTGTTGCAAGTGCCGTAAAACTCTTACTAAAACAAAAAAACAAAACTATTTTTCCTCCGTAGATGATTTCCTGGCCTCGAACAAGGTGGAGAAATCCTCCACTCACACGGTGAAGAAACCGTCGGCACAACCGGCCGCTGCCGCCGTCGCTAAACCCAGCGGAGGAGGAGGGGGAGGTCTGTTTGACGACGATGATGAGGAAGACGATTTGTTCGGCGGTGGAGCTCCGAAGAAAGCTGCGGCGAAACAAGGTCAGATATTGCCCAGGAAAGCTTTCCTCTTTTTTCCTTTTAGTCTTCTCAGTCCTGCCAATTTGTCTGTCGGCCCTTGTCCTTTCCTCGGCATCTGTAGCTTTTATAGGTGGGTGGTTGAAGGGCGCCACTGGTAGGCCCAACTTCTTTACTTTCCGTCTGTTGTTTATTGTTTATAAGGGTAGTTGGAGGGTGTCACATTTAGGTCCTGTTTCTTTCTTTTAAAAAATCTGATCTTATCTTATGCTGGTGGGTGGTTGGTGGGTGCTCTAGTGTGGTTTGCTCCTTCTTTCCTATCAAACATCTATTGTCTTTATCTCTCCTCCTTCTTTTTTGTGTTTGTTACTCTCTTGTAACACCTCTAATCTTCGGCACTTATATGACCTTATTGTGTTGCAAGTGCCGTAAAACACTTACTGAAACTACACTATCTTATGCTATATTATATTATCATATCCTTTCTTACTCTGTTCTGACTTTTCTTTCCGTATCTCATCTCATCTCGTCTCATCTTATCTCATGTCTCAGCTCCAACTGCTGCGTTGACGCAGAAGCCAAAATCTGCGGCCAAGTCTGACCTGTTTGCCAACGATGATGACGAGGATGATTTGTTTGGAGGCTTTTCTGCTCCCGCGACCAAGAAGAAGTCTCACAGTAACGCAGGACTCACCGTGGAAGCAGAGGAGGAGGAGGAGGAGAAGAGAGTGGAAGATAAGCCAGACAGAAAAGCAGCTCCAGAAAAGAAGGTGAGAGCTTTTGGCTTTTGGCGAAATCTTTTCGCTGCCACTTTTACGGGGAAGTCCCACTTTTCGTAAATGTTCTTTTTTCTGTTATGTGGGAAAGGTTTTGTGACGATTTGGGCTATCTCTAATACTTGCACGTCTATTTTTTTTTACCATTCTGATCTCTTAAAGAAATTTAATTCACTTGAACCCCCCGGGGCGGTGCCACTGACTGAAGTGTCTTTAGGCCATTCCCTAAGGGGGGACATTTCTCGTTCAAGCACAGTAGAATTGTAAATGGGCTGACTCATGTCACGCTCATAACTGTGCCTGATCTACAACAGGGAACTGCTGCTTTTTCTTTCCTGATCCTTACTATTGTCATTTCCTCTACTTCTTTTGTATGTTTGTCACTCTCTTGTGACCCGTTATTTCCGGGGTGC